GAAGTCCTTTCCTATGGGCAACGTGGGCTCTGTCAGGGGAAGTCATGTTTCTACTCTGCTCAGCAGACCCTACCTGGGTCTTGGGCTCTGTTCCAACTGCCCGTTTTTAAGAGGCACGTTCAAATGAAATCTGTGCTCAGAACAGCCAGGCACCCAAACAAAGCTATGTGAGGGTGGCTGAGGGTCGAGGGACCATCTGCCTGAGTGGCCCTCCCAGAGAGCTGGCATTAAACTTTGGAAGCGCTGTTTTTCAGGCGCAGTCTGGCCTGCATTGCTCCTGAGGGTCGTCCACACTGGTGGCTTACCGAGGGCGAGTTGTCACTGGACGTTAGCACGGGGCTCCAGGCCACTAGTGCTGTCCCTGGTGGGTCTGCTCCTCTGCTCACTGGTGACATCTGTGCATTTCTATCACAGGTGTCCCTGTGGTCTCTGCTGGTCACCCTGGTGGTCCTTTTCATCATGACCGGCACCATGCTCGGCCCGGAGCTGCTGGCGAGCATCCCGGCCGCCGTGTACGTGGTAGCGATCTTGATGCCCTTGGCAGGGTATGCCTCAGGCTACGGTCTTCCACCTGCCGCCCAACTGCAAGAGGACGGTGTGCCTGGAGACGGGCAGCCAGAACGTGCAGCTGTGCACCGCCATCCTCAAGCTGGCCTTCCCGCCGCGGCTCATCGGCAGCATGTACATGTTCCCCTTGCTCTACGCGCTCTTCCAGTCTGCAGAGGCAGGGGTGTTCGTCCTCATGTACAAGATGTACGGGAGCGAAATGCTGCCCAAGCGAGATCCTCTCGACGAGGACGAAGACACGGATATTTCTTACAAGAAACTCAAAGAAGAGGAAATGGCAGACACGTCCTACGGCACCGTGAGTGCGGATACTGGGATGATGGTGGAAACCGCCCAGACGGCGCTCTGAACGCGCAGACGCACAAGTGAGCCTGTCCAGCTGCTCGGCGCTTCGGATCCATGGCGGGTGGGAGTGCCTTGGTTTACCGAAGGACAGCCAGTGGCTCACCTCCCTGTGCCTGCAACATTGCGATTGCCCGCTGCGAGGCCGCACCTCGCGTAACCAGGCGTTTTGGTCCGGTCGGAATCAGTGTCGTGTCACTTGCACCTGGGGTAACTGAAGGGCAGCCTGAGCTAGTTAAGTGTGCTGTTAGTTTGCCCGTCGCCAATTGCCATGATTGTTTCAAATACAGAAACTCTTTGAACACAGGGACCAGAAAGAGTAGAATTTCGGTGCACTAGCTTCTATGAGTGAAAACAAGTTATGTTTGTAAGGCATCATTGATTTTAATGTACTTGTTTTAGAAAAAGTGTGCTTGTGCAACTTACAAATTCCTGATAATGTTAAAATTTTGACCTGCGTTTGGAGAATCCCAATACAGGTCAGTTAAACAACGAAGTATCGTATTTTATTGTCAAACCAGTAGCAAATGAAAGAAGACTTACAGTAATGTATTTGATTACTTGATGTGACTATTTCTTGCTGAAGAGCGATTCACATTTTTCCAGTAGACAGGGCGCTTTTTAATTGGCCCCCTGCGTTTGCGTACACACCCCAGATGAACTGACCGTTTGGAGAGAGGATTTGGCTAGGAACTCTTATAGAACTGCTACTCACCCTGAAGAAGGTACCTCCCAGTGATCATTTTTGGGGAGAGGGGACGAGGCCCAGGGGTGCAAGATCAGCCTAGGTGGGTCTAGAGCGTCCCCCCCTCCCCCCGTCCATCTACTGAAGGGCCTCTGAGCACTGCCGTCGGGGCCAGCAGGTGAGAGGCCCTTTGGCTCACTGTGCGGCACCTGCGCGGACACCTGGCCCAGTCCGGCTATGGGGACCACCTGGCTCCCAGTCTCGCGGGAACCCTCCTCGCTAGTCCTCACCTCAGGCGTGGGCTAAGTCAGCATTACTTCCATCACAAAGAAGGCCGCCTTCCACACCACCCGAGGGCCTCTGTGCTCACTGCCCGGTGGAGAGTTTCCGAGCAGAGGAGGTTGGGAGGGACCCCTCGGCTGGGACACCGGATACTAGGCGGTGGGGACCGCAGAGGACCCGGCC